ACGGATGGCACTCCAGAAAAATTTCGATTATCAAGTTTTTTTTTCCGATCTTTGTATAGTCACAGCTCTTACACCGATTGTTATACACTTTTACTAGTACAAAGAGCAGTTTGAGGAGAATATATTAGAAGAGGAGGTAACAAAAGCATTGAGTAAATTGAAGAAAGGAAAAGTAGCTGGCTCAGATGAAATTACAAATGATGTCCTAATTTTAGGGAAGAAATGTCTCGCTGAGATGAGAAATGAGTCGAAAAATCACTCAAGCTCTCATTCAACAGGATATTGCAGGAAAGGTGTGTACCACAACAGCGGTACATCAATAAAATAATTTGATTGCATATAAAAGGAGGCCTAAAGGATATTGATAATTATAATCCAATAACGCTTTCTTCTTTAAGATATAAAATATTTGCAACAGTTATCAAAAACAGACTTATATAAGAAAACTACCCTATGAACTACCCGGCTTTAGACTCAAATTCTCCACTATTGAATACCTCCAATTATAAAAAAAAGTAAGGATTACATATCTACCTACTGTATATACTGTACTTTATTGATTTCAGGAAAGCAATTGACTCTGTATTCTACCATCAATCGTGGCTAGCATTAGAAGAACAGGGAATCTATAGTATCTATGTTGACATATTAAAACACACACATATATATATATATATATATATATATATATATATATATATATAAAATGATAAAATAAAATAATAAAACGATAAAATCTTCCTTATAACAGAAATGTTTTGATTGAGGTATGCTGAACACAAATCCAAAGGCAGAAAATCTCTATCAGTCACAATTGTATGCCAAATTTGTGATGCCGATAAAAAAAAAAAGAGGTATTTCTCGACATTTTGAGCATTTTTCAACATTGGAAACTTCAACAAAAAATGAAAAAATCTATTTGATTTTGAAGCTATTGTGTGTTACAAAATGAAAAAATTCCCAGAGCTGAAGTGTTAGGCTTCAAGATTTTTTTTGCCACATATCCGCGTTCTATTTAAGAACCTTGATGTTAAGGAAAATTAAATGAAACTGAAAAAAAGAACTTGGTCAGCGTTTGACGTGCATAAACAATTTTTGTAACATAAAAATCCTCTTTTTTGGATTTCTTCTCTTCCAACTTGGGAACAATTTCAGATGAACACGGAGAACGGTTTCATCGAGATATAGCTCAATTGGAGAAGAGGTATAGCGGTAAATGCAATGAGAAGATGTTAGCTGACTACTGTTGGACACGGGAGACAGCCGATGAACACCATAAAAAAATATATATATAAAAAATGACTAGGCATGAATTTATATTATGTTGATGATGAAATATTTTATTATTTTATGTATTATCAATTTTATTCACTATAAAATAAAAAAATGAACGAAATAAGAAAAAAAAATTTAAACATACTATTCAAAAACAATGTGCATTCCCTCAAAAATAGTGTCTGATAGATTTTTTTGGACTTCACATCTTACTCAGCACACATGAGAATAAGAAAATAAGGAAAAATTTCTCAAGGAAGTGAACTTTTTTTTGCAGAACAGTGTTATTATTGTTAATGGCGATCCAGGAAAAATCAAGACATAATGAAGATGTATGTCGAACCACATATTACAGATAGGGGCTGTAGAGCCAATGTAGCGATAGATAGATGTTTGTTCGAGTTCATGTCTATTTTTTTCCCAACTTCATTGGAAAAAACTATAGATTTGTTTGATAAATTACTTCTTTTTTAAAATTAATTAACCGATCCATCATACAGTCAGTGGAGATTTAGCGAAACCTGGTTGTACGTTCCATAAAATATAATAAATGCTAGTTGCTGGGGTACAGTTGGTAGCTATAGCGCAGCATTTTTTGTACTCTCGCAGCAATTTTTGTACGCTAATACCTCTCCTTTATCCTCCTGTTCCGACTTTGCTATAGAGATACCATTTAACGACAATAACTTTTATTTTTCCGACATTTCCCCTATAGACCTTTTAACCGCTGTAATGAAATCCCATACTAATTCCATAGGACCTGATGGCATCCCTGTCAAATTAATAAAATTATGTCTTCCTGAAATCCTCCCAGTTCTACTTTTCATCTACAATTTCTCCCTTCAGAATTCAGTATTCCCTATAAAAATTCTAATCCGACCTCACCCGAAGATTTCCGCCCAATCTCAATTCTTTCCAATCTCTCAAAACCCCTAGAAAGATTAGCGCAACCCCAAGTCTCCAACTTCCTTGAAAAGTCCAACAAACTTGATCCTTGGTTTCAATCTTTCCCCTCACAACGTACCTATGCAGTCTCCATACCCAATCAACCACTATCTGCCTTCCTTCCTTTATCCTCTGGAGTTGTCAAGGATTCAAGCATATCTCCCCTCCTTTTCAGCTCCTACATTAACGACCTACCTAAATCAATTATCCATTGTTCCCACCACCTTTATGCAGACGATTCACAGATGTACCTATCATTTTCCCCTCCTGAGTTACTGGAGGCATTTGCCAAGATCCAAGAAGACCTAGATCGAATCAGTGCCTGGGCAAATGTAAATGGATTAAGGTTAAATGCTGCCAAAACTCAGGCCATTGTCATTGCTTCTAAGCCCCTTCTTAGATCCCATACAGACTTTCCCATCCTTCGCCTTAATGACCAGCCAAACTCCTTCTACTCCTCTGTTAAAAATTTAGGATTTTTCATTGATCAAAATCTCTTTTGGAATCACCATATTTCTCATATCTCTCGACGGACAATTTCCACCCTCAAACTATTCCATTGCTTCCGCCATCTCCTACTTCAACATACGCGTAGACTCCTAGTTTCCTCTCTCATTTTCCCCCACTTTGACTATAGCTGTGTGGTGTATGATGGCCTCTCTGTGGAGCTCCGCGATAGACTGAAAAGACTAATGAACAGCTGCGTAAGATTTGTGATCGGGGCCCCAAGATACTCCCATGTTTCTCACCACTACGCTGAGTTTAAGTGGCTTTTCCCCTCCTTCCGAAGACAATATTTCCTTGGTACGTTCCTCTGCAAATCATCAACAACCATCGTCCTTCTTACGCCTACAACCTTCTCCAGTTCGAATCCTCAGTCCATTCCCTGTCCACAAGATCTCAACCTTCTAACCTTTATAAGCCTTCTCACAGATCTACTTCATTCCAAAATTCCTTTATTGTTCGCTCTGTCAATTTCTGGAATTCCCTCCCTATCAAAATTCGACATTCGCCATCCATAACCACATTCAAAACCCTTCTATTCCAATTCCTATCCCAAAAACAGTCAGATAGTTGCTAACCTTACCTAACAGATAGTTGCTATGACTGATACATATTTCTAAGTTATGATTGAAAAACGATTTTTGTTAATTGCAAATATTTTATTTTTATATCGAAAATTTTAACAATTTTTTTTAAAAATTATTATTCAGCTCTTCTGTTTTACCATCAAAATTACGCCTATTGAAAGAGAGGACCAAATATGCAAATATTGTATTATTTTACAATGATTTTTTTCATTTATACAAAGAACTAAACAAGGAACGGAAGTAATTTGGTTTTATTAGCATTGCGGTTAATTTTTTTTTTTTTTAATATATCTTCTATACTGTAGTAATAAAGTTATATTCGAATCAACTGTTTTCTTTGTGCGTTGTCTTTCCTTTTTTTAAAAAAATCTTCATTATTTGTGCATCTACCTAGATTAAGGCGTTATCAAACAAATTTTGTTCAACAAGAACGCCATTCTACTGTGAATAATTTAGTCAAAAGGGGATATCAATGAGTATCTCAATTACCCTTGGGAATGATAGTGGTTAAATAGACTTCCTTAGTTCCTAGTTCCTTATTGTTAAACATATCGTGATCGAATTTATCTAATTTGATATATCTGGATCTGGTGACCAAGATGTTTTGTGATATAAAGTAAGTTAACCAGTCCATGACAGTTTGTGTGATTAACTTTAAAGAGCCATAAGGGTAAATTACAGAGAAGGCTAATCCTTGACTAAGGGAAGGGGTGATGAGGGGGGTGAGGAGCATCCTGAACTGATAGAGAAGATGGATGAATTGCTTAAAAGTAATAAGAATACAATATTAATATCAAGTACAAGACGCAGCTTTAAAATATCAATCATATAATATATAAACTATTTCCTTAAATTTCATTACAAATAATCACAAACTAAAATACCTGCTACTTTTTTGCTACCCTTACTGTAATGTGATCAAAGTCATCAAAAATTCAATTTGGAAGTACCTATCTATTAGAATGTAATTGTAATGTGAATCTTTGTCAGCAAAGATTAAGTCAAGGTGTTAAGTCTTTACAAAAAATATACCTTTATAAATGCTTAGTCCCGATAGTCATTTTGTTTAAACATAATCTATAGAATACTCAAAATATCCATTACTAAAAGAAGTTTAATATTACATAAATAAATAGAAGATTTGACCAGAAAGAAATAAGAAAAAAAAGTGGAAGTGACAAGCATAAAAAACAAATTAAATATAGCTACACATTTTAGGAAACTTGAAATACATTCAATACAATATCATTAATTGATTCTTACCACAATTTAAATTGGATGCAGCATTTTGACATTAAAAAATAATTATAAAACTATAAAAATATTATTTTTTTCGATGTTTCTCAATTTGTAACAAAACATTCAATCCTATCAATTTGTCACCCCAATTACCATCAATATTAAAGCGTATACATTATTATTATTTTTTGAGTTAATACGAAGTTTTGAAGTAATATACAAAGTAGGTAATAATCCTAAATTAAAAAAAATACTTTCACTGACATTTTCGTTAATGCAATACCTACAGTAGATTAAAATACGCAGGACAACAAAAATTGAATAATCAAATTAATTCTATTAGTCGGAACTAATTATTATCTAAATTGCAATTCTAGGAAAATCTTTCAAGACAAGTAGAGATAAATCATTTATAATAAGCTTTAAATTTTTGACAGATCCCTAACATACCTGATCCGATTCTTCCCACATTTCCACGTATTGTTTCTGATCGTTCACCATGAAGATTCCTTTGCAGACAACCGAGAGATAGTGAGCTATCAGGCTTGACCCTTGATGTATTACATAACAATGTCCTAATCCCATGGGACCTACATAAATCAATTATGATAATATGTAAATACAGATAATAGCCGAGGAGTGGGGTAAACGCCGTGATATTAGGATTTTAATGAAACTTGATATGAAGATAATTAACTTTATTCTGTTGGTGTTATTCTTGAGAAATTAGATTTTGATTTTTTTTCTTAGATTTTTTATGATTTAGTTCTTTGATATTCAATTCTAAAAAAGGAATTTTTTGAATTATTTTTTTTTATTTTTTAAATTTATATGGAGCCTTTATTCTTGTGAATCATACAGGTAATAGGGAATATAAAATGTCAGGAGCGGGTTTGAAAGATTTCAGTATTACCTCTTTCATACCTAACACATGATCTTGGTTTTGAACATTTAATAAGCAGTTCCGGCAGGAATGAAAAATTTAGGATGTTCAATCTACCATTTTTTTTTCCGCTTTTAGAGTATTTCCCATGTCCACTAGTACAGTAATATTTATAAATTTAAGCTTTGTGGTTGGTTTTTGTGGCACAGTACGTTAAGTGTCATTAAATCAACTAGAGTTGTTCACAGCTAAACAAAAAAGGTTTGTAGAAAAACTCTAACATAAACACCACTTATTCATTTTCATTTTGAAACAGTATTTCTTTGATTATATTCAATTTCTTTTTAGTAAAAATTTTTGAGTAGCAATAATGACACTTGAGCTGACCTGCATTGGCAAGCGTAGGTCAAGGTTGCAATGTGTCCCATCAACGGTGGATCCCAACCCCAGTAAATCATATCATAATCAAAACCTGAAGCAGAATGCCCTGCTCATGTCCCTTTACTTCCCAGATATTTCCTAATTTACCTTAAAATATATTAATTTTTGTTTTCTCTTCTTTTTACTATATATTTATTGATATTTCTTGTACTTTTTAAGAATTATGATAATATGACTCATTCCCTATAGCTTGGAAGTGAGTTCCTTAAGAGAAAAAAAATCTTAGGATCAATGTTGAAGAGCATCAAAGTTTGCATCCATTGAGTTCTAACATTTTCATTTTAGGCCAATTATATGTCTCGAATATTGAAATATTGAAATTATATGTCTTGAAATATTGAAAATCACGTTTACCTTCATCACCAATTTCTAACCATCGGAAGATTACAGATGTTGTTCAGAGTAAGTGCCCTTCATTAAATTAGTTGGAATTTACTGAATGCAAAATTTGATGCTCTAAAACCATTCCATGCGTTTTTACTTTTAGGGAACTCATTTTCAGGTTACAAAGTGATGTATAGTAATTTGTCTCAGTTTTTGACAAATTTTGTAAAAATCAGGGTTGGTTGACAGTGGTTTTATACCTCACCACGTAACGAAATTATAAAGTTTTTGTACTCATTCTACGCACAATTTAACCTTCTTTAATTTATTAATGAGTATATTTTTAGCTTTGATGTATCGTTTAGAAAAAACAAACAATATCGAAAAAAGTTGACTTCTTTTGGGGGAAAAAATTTTATTTTGGTAACCCGCGTTGGCAATTTAGTTTTTTACATCTCTAAACCCATATATATAAGTTAAAAATATAAATCTCACATTTTTAGAAATAGATTTCCCGTTTCGATCCTCAAATTGCCGGACTAATATTCTTTAAATCAGCCGCTATTTTTGAAAGCAGCGGCTCTAGAACGGCAGACAAGGTTCTTTTTACTTTTTAAAATAACATTCACTTCCGTAATTTATAATCATACCGTCGCCTGCGATCAGGTCGAATTTTGGTTCCTGGCTCCAGGGCTAACTGGGGGCCGCAACGCGCACCCCGATCCTGGAGTCCGAGAATAATATTAATAGCAACAATAACAGTGCACACAACAATCTCTGTTTGGTTGTAACTGAAATTGCCAAATTAAAACATTAAAATTGTTAAAGTAATGAATTAAAACAATCTCACATGTATTTTATACTAACGTCAAATGCTAAAATTAAGATCAGTTCACAATAAAATAAAGTATAAAGAGCGTCATTACATACAATAATATATCAAATTAATTTCGTTCTTACTTCTGTCCATTGTCTATTACTACCATTAACATTTATATATATATATATATATATATAATAATAATAATAATAATAAGGCTTAGCGAACCCGAAGGTTCAATGCCGACACCACCAATCGCTTGTTACACACCTCCCTCCACCGTTCGCCGTCCAAACCCAGTCCCTTCAGATCGGCTTTAATGCAATCTTCCCACCTTCGCTTCGGTCTACCCCTCGGACGCTTACCATTCGGCACAGCAAATATTAACCTTTTAGGAATTCTCTCGTTACTAAGCCCAACAACTTTACAAGCCCATTTGATTCGCCGCGATGAAATTACATCAATTATATTACCCGGATACAGCTCACGCAATTCGGCGTTGTGTAACCGTCTGAACTCTCCGGTTAACTCATCCTTCTTCGGTCCGAATATTCTACGCAATACTTTATTTTCAAAAACCTTAAGACGCTGCTCATCCCTTAATGTAAGCGGCCAAGTTTCGCATCCATAAAGAACTGTAGGCAAGATAATTGTTTTATAGATTCTAATTTTTAAGTTCCGGGACAAGAGGCGCGAACTAAGTAGTTTTGTCACAGAAAAATAACAAGCATTTCCCGCCTTCAGTCTAACCTTAATCTCTTCTTCAATTTCGTTCTTTCTAGTTATCGTAGAACCTAGATACCTAAATTTATCTACCTGTTCAAACATATTACCATCTATATCGATATCACCAGTAGTATCGCCATTTTTGCAGCTAACCATATATTTTGTTTTATCCACGTTTATTTCGAGTCCTAGTTCTTTACCGGCTTTCATTAACGTTGTCGTATTTAGTTTTATAGTTTCAACGTCTTCGCTTAACAGTACCAGATCATCAGCATAGCCCAGCACGGATGTTGTCCCGCCCAGATCCAACCCTTTCTCGGTTCGCATTACCTCCCTAATGGCATGTTCTAATGCCAAATTGAACAATATTTTTGTAAGTTTCCTTAAAATTTTGTTTTAATTTGGGCTCTTTACCTTGGCTCCTCGAATTGTATACAAGAATATACCAGCCGTCAGTATATTGTCCGTAGCAGGCTCCTGGTCGACAAAACAAAAAAGTGGTAGAGGATATTTTTCCCGTGAATATAGCACGTTTGAGATGTTTCTTACATTGTGTCCTAGTTCTTCTGGATCTATCTTGATGGCGGAGGTGAGGGTAGTGGAGTACAGTCTCTCAAGACAACTCTATAAGGTCTATCTTCTTCTATTTTGTAATAATGAAAATTGTAATTGTTCCGCTTCCTCCAACACTTACTGGACAAACGCTCTAAGCTTCCAGTAAATTACAAAAGACTTATATAGATGACTACAATAAGACCTATTTGGACTTACGGAGTTGAGCTTTGGGGCTCCACTAAGCCATCGAATTCCTCTCGTATCCAATCCTTACAATCCAAAATCCTTCGGAAAATCCTCAATGCTCCTTACTTTGTCACCAATAAAATAATCCATAATGACCTTAATGTTCCTTATGTTTCCGATTTGGCCCAATCCAGATACCAATCCTTCCATAATAAACTTCAGAACCATCCGAATCCTCTCGTCTCTAACCTTGCTTCCTCTTCTATTCCTGATAACCCTCCGAGGCGTCTGAAAAGAAGATGGCCTCGAGATCTCTTATTGTAAATACATTTTGTTTTTAGAGTGCTACCAGTGGGTAGTTTCTCAACAAGTCATTTCATGTTTTTATTTTCTGTTATCAAATTTACTTAATGTATTTAATTTTTTAATACAGTTGTAAATATCATGTATAAAAAAAAAAAAATGCTAAATTATTTTTTTATAATTTCCCTTATTGATCGTATTTATTTTTACGTCTCTTGCTCGGGAAAGGCATTTAAAGTTAGTTTGTTCCATTAAATTGGAGATGTGAAGACCAAACGCCATAAATTCATGTGTGTTAGTAACAAAGATTGGGGACGGCTCTGTTTCAGAAATTTCTGACGGTTTCTGATTCAGAAAAATGTTGGGCTGAAAGATTCTTCTGTAGTATTAGTGAGTGCAAACTTTTTGCTGGTTGGTATGGCTGATAGGATGTTGTTTGATTCAGTTTTATTAGCGGTGGTTTTACCGCGAGTTTCCGGAGGTGATGGTATTTAGGTTTACCTTTTTTCTTATTTGAAGAGTTTTCTGCTGATCTCGAAGCAGCAGAACGTTTTCGTTTTTGGAGCTGTCGTCCTTTTAGGTACTGCGAATAAGTTTAACTGACATTGGAAAAAGTATTAAAAAATAACATATAATTTCCTACAGGAACTATCAGTGTTAACCAGAAGGTGGTTTCATGGTGCATGTTACGCAAAAAAAAAAAAAAAAATTGAGGGATTGTGAACTTTCGTAGCGAAACAAGTCTAACGTTATATAATCTTCAATATTTCTAACATTTCTTGGGATTGAGGGTAGGAGCTCATGCGCCATCGACCTTGGGAGGGAGGAAGGGGTAAAAGGGAGGATCTATTCAGAATATTTTATTGGCTTTGTGATAGTTTACAATGTAAAATATAATAAAAATCATGACAAAAATAATTTAAAAAATGAGGATCTATTTATATGTTTCCGGAGCCGTAGTTTTTGAGAATTATGTCCATTTGGAGATAACGCCACTGCGTTTTGACTTATTTGACTTTTTCTGAATTCTTCCATATCAGGTTCTATTTAAATGTTTTCGAAACCGTAGTTTTTGAAAATAATCTCCGTTTTGAGATTACGCCACTGCATTTAGACTTATTTGAGTTTTTCGAATTTCTTCCTTATCATGGTCTATTTATATGTTTTCGGAGCCGTAGTTTTTGAAAATGATGTTCATTTTGAGATTACACCACTGCGTTTAGATCTAGATAAGTCAAAACGCAGCGGCTTAATCGAAATCAAAATATAGATTATTTTTAAAAAAACGAGTCTTTAAAAACATATTATAAAACTGTATAT